GTGAGAGAGAGAGAGAGAGAGAGAGAGAGAGAGAGAGAGAGAGAATGTGTGTTCGCGTGTGCATGCACACGAACTCCACATATGCATATACCATGTGTGTGCAGGAGCCAGCAGAGGCCAGAAGAGGGTGTGGAGCTAAATGTTATAGGTGCTGGGACCTGTGCTCTGGAAAAGCAGTGAGTGCTGACACACGGAGCCATCTCCAGCCCCTTACCGTGTTTCCTGAGACAGATCTCTCACTGGGCTTCCACGTATTGCTCACTCCCCAGTGCTGGAAGCTCATGTGCACCTCCCTCCTTGCCTGATTCTTTTTTTTTTTTTTTAAGTGTCTCCTAACCTAAGCTAGCCTGGAATTTGCTATGGAGGGAAGGATGACCTTGAACTTCTGTCTCTATCTCTGAAGTGCTGTGATTATAGACATGTACCTTGCTTATGTGATGTGAGGTATGAAATCCACAGCTTCCTACATGCTTGATCAACAGACCCTGCCCAGACCCACCCCCAATCTGTTTTTTGTTTTTTTTTGTTTTTTTTTAACATAGGTTTTGGGGCTTGAACTCAGGCCCTTATTCTTGCAAGGCAAGCCCTTTATGGTCTGAACTATTTGTCTAACCCCGATAGGGCTTTTCCTTACCTGCCAAGACTCAGCCAGGAGGAACTCCAGCTCAGTGAGCAACTACTATCAGCCAACCCTGTGGTCACAAGGAAGCCACAGGGGAGGATAAATGAGGGCTAGCATGGGATGAGGGAGGGGTGGAACACACAAGAAGAGACATTATAATTCAGCCAGATGAGCATAATGAAGGAGGAAGCAAGAGTTCTGGGGGTACTGGAGGCAAGGGGCGCTCAACCTGAATGAGGCTCCCATAATCTCTTGCCTCGGGAAGTTACTGGGCTCCTGAGAGCCTTGGAGAAGAAACCTTCCCTGTCTGCTTTGTCAAAAGGCCCACACAGGGCTACTGAGTTGGCTCACTGGGTAAATGTGCTCAATGCCAGACTAACTGAAATTTGATCTCAGGACCAAAATGGTGGAGGTGAAGAACTGACCCATCCAAGTTGTCCTTACACACACGCACGCACGCACGCACGCACATTTCACTTAACGTGCTGGAGAGATGGCTCAGTGGTTAAGAGCACCTACTGCTCTTGCAGAGGAGCCAAGTTGGGTTCCCAGCCCCCACACTGTGTGGCTCACAACTGCCCGTAACTCCAGCTCCAGAGGATCCGATGCCCTCTGCTAGAATCCGTGGACACCTGCAGTCATGTGCACATACCCACACACAATATATACAGAACAGACACACAATTGAATAAAAATATTTTAAAACATGTAGTATGAAGTTTTTAAAAAGCCAGCATAGCCCTCATCTCCATCCTAACTCTGCTTTGTTCATGGAGCAAACTCTCTCTTCTGAAAGTGGCTTTACTGGGCTCGGCCCATGGCTCCATGGGTACAGTGCATACATGAAGCCCACTTCCAGCACCACAGGGACCTGGTGTGATGGCCCATGCCTGTTATCACAGCACTTTGAAAGTAAAAGCAGCAGGGTCAGGAGTTCAGGGTCATCTCTGATTATATATATTGAGTTCAAGGCCAGCCTGGGCTACAAGAGACCCTGTCTTAAAAAAAAAAAAAAAAAAAAAAAAAAAAAAAACTGAAAACAAAAACAAAAAACACACATATACACAAAGATAAAAACAAAAAACAAAAAACAAAAAAACTGGGAGCTGGCTTGCTCTACAAGTCCACAGAACTGAGTCTGGATCCCAGAACCACCATAAATACTGAGTGGCCCCATGTCATTCCAGCCTGGAAGGTGGAGACAGAGCAACCTGGTGGAGGATGGGTGTGAGAACAGCTGTATCAATGAGCTTGGAGTTTGACTGAGAGACCCTACCTCAGAGAATAAGGTGAAGGCAAGATGAAGAAGAACCCCACAGTAGCCCCAGCCCTACACAGGCACCCCAACATGTGTGCACACAGGCCTTACCAGGACCTATAAGCTCTGGGATGAACTCAGCTTTTGCCCTGATGGCCTTGGATGGAAGAAAAGTATCCTATGCTAGGCTGTGGGCCTTCTAGGAGGCAGCTACCTCTCTAAATGTCCCATGGGACACAGTTCTAGTAACAGGATGCTACAAAGTGGGATAATAAAATTAACTTCTGAAATAAGAAATAAGAAACACCTTAGACAATGGTAAGAGTGCTTTCCCTGCGGGACTTCTCAGAGCCCTTAATATGTTAACGAGCAAGCACCACCATTACCACACGAGAGGGGTTATGAATAAGGTGTGTCTACGATGCCTTGCTGAATCTGCAATCTCTGCAGTGGGAAATACTAAAGCAGGTGGGGTGTGTCACCCTGCCACGGATACAGTAGTTTCTTCTTGGTGCCACCTAAGGAGGCCTGCCTGTGCCAACTCCCAACAACCCCCACACAGCAGCCACCGAAGCCCCTCACTTAACATCTCTCCCCTCCTCCAACTCCATGGTGCTGTGTTTTCTTAGTTTGCACAGTCTACCTGCTGGGCTACTGGGCTTCAGCTCAGGGAGCTGGATATACACCAACCCCC